AACAAACACGGCTGGACATACCCGGCCAGCGGGCTTGTCCCAGGCTGACTCAGAAAGCAGACTTTGATCTCCTCAGGTACCAAAAACTGAGCTGGAGCAAGAGGTGTCAGCTGGCTGGAGCCATCCTCTCTACCAAAGTATTTCAGATTCCCTTTTGTCTTCTCAGATGCTAATTGCAGATTGCCCTCTGGTTTTCACAGCCACTTCATGGCTTCAAAGATTTCTTCACTAAAGGTGAAGATGTGCAAACAAACACAAAATAAAACAGCATTACAGTGGAACAGAGGAATGCTGGTGGAGAGGGACGCCAAAACACCCTGGGAGTGTTATAATAATTGCCAAATCTACAGTTTAGAGCTGGGCAAGCCAGGGTTATTCTTTTGTTTAGCAGGAATGTGGCAGTGTAAAGATGGGAAGTGCATAAAACCGTGTATGGGGTACCCCGAGGTTACAGCGCAGAAGCAAGCAAGGATGGCCTTCTTTTCTGCTCCCCTCTCTAACCATGTTTGGGATAGGTAATGGAACTTGACCTGAGCAAAACATCTGGATTTGCAGCTGCTTTGCTTCGCCACAGCGGCCCAGAGCAGCAGCAGGACCATGGTTTGTGATGAGAGGCTGGGCCTGGGGTTATGCAAGGGGGAAAGGCCCACTCTTCCTTTTCATGTCTGCCAAGACATCTCTTTGCATGCTGAGCTTGCTGGAGTGGAGTCTGTGAAGCCTCAGAGGCTGGTCAGGCACTCACACCTGGGTTAATCTGCAGCCACAGGCTCCGTAAAGAGGACAGCCATCACGGCCTTACAGCACCCACTTTTCTCTGTTTCATCCCATATTTATTAGTGCACAGAGTCTTTACAATGAAACACAGAGGAAGGCAGTGTTTTTATGCACTTCTGAACCAGTGTCTCCACACAGAGGTTATCTGGGCATCTACCAGCATCTTTCTGCCATCAGTGTGTTCTCAGGAGTCACTGATTTAAACATGAAACATTCCACATACTCCCATGTAGCACAGGACATTTGCTGGCTATTGGCTCCATGGAAAATCTGGAGAGAATCTCATTCCTCATTGGTAAAATCACCGGGGATAAAGACAAGATCAAGGGGGAGTGCCTAGTCTTTTAAAGATTCAGCTTTTCAAAATTGATTTTTCGACTCATTGTCTGTTTTGCTTGGAAATCCCTGTAAAATACTGCATTGCCCTCAAAGGATATATCAGACAAGTTTGGGGTGAATGTGCTATTCCCAGAAAATGAGGGGTCTGAGCTGCAGAATTACCTGCAGAGTGGGAATCCCAGATACACAATCCTAGGCAAAGTCAGTGATGCCAGTAATTTACGAGTAGATACCAGCTGCTGTTGCAAAGACAAATAGGGAACCAGAAGGGAAAAAAGCAAGGCAAGGCTCAGAAGGGCAGAGAAATGGGGAATGCAAGAGAAAAAGAATGGCTTGTGAGCTTCTGTTAACCAGGACTTATTTGGAGGTTTCCAACAGTTTGAGGCTGCTTCTCCAGAGCATTGCTAGGTCTTTAGTTGCCTTTTACTGTCAAATGTCTGCAAGACTTCTGTGCCAGAGGAAATCTGCTCTCATTTGCTGTCTGACTGCATTCGTGGTCAGGATAACAAAGCTCCCTGTGGATGGGGAATTTCTGAGTCAAGGCTTGGGCAAAGAGTGAGGGAAATAGGGATATGGGCTCAACAGCTCTCCTGACTCTCAGAGCAAATAAGAAGGAACTATTCTTGGCTATATTCCTTTCTGTTCCAGCTAGCCCCACTGTTTGGGGCATCTGCAGCACAGACATAGTTTGAAGGAAGCAAGCTTTTCTGCCCAGGGAAGAGAAAGTCAGCCCTTCCATCAGGTCAGCATTGCCACATGTCACTTCCAGTGATGGAGTGATGTGTGTGCACAGCAAGAGAGTGGTGAGCTTCAGAAGGGTGGGAAGAGGAGAGATCTTTTTCTAGAAAAGTCATTAAAAATTATTTCCATGGTGAATACCTTCCCCACAGCCTGGCTGCAGAAAGCATTTGGCACAGAAACGGCACAGAGCTGGATTTTCATTTTTGCTTTGCAGTTCACCTCTAAAGCGAAAGGGGACTTTTGTAGGGCTGAATGACTCTTCATGGACTTTGGTTCCTTCAGGCTCGCAGCATTCAGGTTGCAGTTTCAAGGGTGCAGAGCCTTTTAAGGGTAGACATGACATCAGCAGGAGTTTCCAGCCCCTGCACATGTACTCCCAAGGAGGTTTTTGTTCTCCTTTTGGTTGCAAAGGAGACTCTGAGGGGCAAGGTAGGGAGAACCTCATGCAACTCATGATGTGATGTCACCCTGACATTTTCTATACTCCTACTCTTCCCCTATTGCTGCCAAAGAAAATAGAAAATAGTCTTTATCAATCCCAGATTTTGACTGGATGTTTGACTGGCTGCTCTTTCAAGACTCTCCAATAATAATAAGAGCTGCACTGTGAGAACAAGTGAAGATGTGGTCAAAGATAAAAGCACATGTACACACAAACACACACAGAGGTGCAGGAGAAGGAACTTAAAGAATCACAGCCTGAAGTGGGCTGCTTTTAAAGAGAACAGAAGGAAATGCTTTCTCACACAGCATGTAATCAAACTGCACAAGTCATTGCCAGAGGATGTTGTGAATGCTAAAATTATATGTGCATTCCTGAAAGGGCATTCCTGAAAGGGCAAGAACTCTTCCTGCAGGGTAGATCTAGCAGTAGCAATTTAAATGCTGATGTCAAGAAATCCTGAATTTTAGGCTGCAAAGGTTGGCAAGACAAGGCAGTTTCTCTCCTTGGAAGAATTAATTTCTCTCTCATTTTGCTTTCAGCTGATGGCTGACAGAGGTCAGTGTGAGCAAATCCTGGTCTGCCCCAGCTTGGTTGCTCAGGATCTGCAATGCATTAGAAGGGGAAGTACAGGAAGTAAGGGGGAAATATAGAAACTTTCCCTTTGGAAGACCAGTGGAGTGGCTGAGTGGAGGGAAACCAGTTAAATAAGAAGTTTCTAATTTAATTACATATTCTGTTTTATTTAGCTAATATTAAAACATTCCATAGTGTCACCAGGACATCCACAGTATTTTTTGGTGTGTTTCCTACAGATTTAATGTCAAGTATGCAAGTGAGACAGGGGTGGATGTGCGCTGGGGGAGGGGAGTGAAATTTATTCCACAGAATCACAGAATCATTTTAAGATCTTTCAGCCCAACCTTTAACTCAGCCCTGCCAAGTCCACCAACAAACCCTGTCCCTAAGTGCCACACCATGTTAAATGTTCTGTCCCAGGCTTTGTGTCTGGGCTCTACTCCAGCAATCAGCCCCGAGCTCCAGCTGCGGCAGGGCACTGGCCGAGCATCCCCTTGTCTCCCCCCAGCACGGGCAGCTGTAGGACTGTGAGCAAGTCACAGGGCTGTGCCACAAGGCTCCTGTTGTGGCAGTGGCCCCAGGGTCTGTGTGTCACCCCAGGGTCTGCGAGTCACTGCTAAGCAAATGAGGCCTGGCAGGCAAGCAGCTTGTGGCCGCCTTGGACAGCGGCTGAATGCGAATGCCGCAGCATCCCGGTCACAGCTGCCTGCTGCCTCTGGACAGCGTGGCTGCAGCTAGGCTGGGACTACCAAGAGTGAGCCAGCACCAGCCAGGCTTTGCTGGGGAGGTGGCAGTTCTGAGGCTCAGCTTTGTGCATTGCTCAGCTCACACTTCAGGCAGAGGCTTTGCAGGTGGGCTCTCCCCTCCACTGATGGGTGATGCTGCGCTGTCCCTATCAGCGACACACCGCCTGTCAGGACTTTCCTGCTTCCCCTCTCAGGTGTGGTTACTGAGATGTGTTCTGCAGGGAAAGAAGAGGGAATCTGAATCTTTTCTGTCCTGAAGACAGCTATTTCCTTGTTTTTCTGCTCTCAGTCAGTGGAGTGTACCAGATTGATATCCCACTTCCACCACTGGAGATGAGTGCTGAGGCAGCGAGGCCGAGGCAAGCAGGACAGAGAGCAGCCTGATAGTGCACATCATCCCCAGGCTTGCCCTAACTCGGGTGAAAGCCCAGGCACCTGTCCTGTGGTGCAGCACAGGGCTGTGTGTCCATGCTGGGTCACCTTGCAGCAGCAGCAGGAACTCCTTGCTAGGCTGCTCCCTGGATGGCAGCCCCTGTGAACCTTTACCCACTGGAAAGAGGAAGGAGTGGCAAAGCGAGGCGGATCCTGGGAGCAGGGTGCTTAGCAGGGGAATTACTGCTCACGTGGTCAGAGTTGTACCTAACTGCACCCTGCAAGGGTCTCAGTGTTGTCAGGACATAGCTGTACTCCAGGTGTGCCACTGGCACAGTCACAGGCCAGGAGTTGGAGAACATCTGTGCTGGTTCCAAGTTGTCCCATGAGCTTTCACAAAGATAAATTTGTTCTACCTAGACTAGGCACTATTGCTGAAAGGCTGACCACAAGTGTGGCTGCAACCTTTGTGTATCATTGTAGGGTTGATTCTAGTTTCTGGGATCTTGAAAGTTTTGGGTCTCTTTCCTTTTACAAAAAAGTGACTACCAAAAATCCCCCAGCCCCCCTGAACAAATAGTACACTGTGGCCCTGTTAAGCATGAAGAGAAGCCATTGGAGAGCAACACAGATTTTTCCAAACACCAGGCTCTGAAAAGGGAAGCAGAGGAGATAGCAGTTTGTGCATGTGCATTTCTATCCCTATTTTTACAGGGGCCAGCAAAATTTATGTTCAGGCAAGCAACTCTCCTGCCTTTGCCTTCAGCAATCCATGCAGCAATCCTTGTGTGCCTACTGGGTCATGATCCTGAGTAGCAGTGGAGCATGATGTAGGAGGCAATGCCCAGGGGTGGCTCCCCTCAGTGCAGAGCTGGAGCTGTGAAACAGCTCGGTGGCTGATGAGGGATGTGAGCAGTCACAGCCAAAAGGGGTGAGCTTTAGGCAGCAGGTCCTGGCACAAGGCTGTACCACTGACTCACTGACTTTTGTTTGCTCCTCACCTGCAGGCCAAGCACTGGAGAAGAAAATAGTCAGAAGCAAAGTGGGGGAAAAGGTCAGCCTGCCTTGTTGTCATGAAATTCCCAGCTCAGAAAGCCTACACAAGTACCGGGTCTACTGGCAGAAGAACATTACGGACGTGGTGCTGGCCTACTCAGAGGGGAATATGATCTCCAAGCACGAGCGGTACCGGAACCGGATAGAGATGGACCCCTGGAACCTCACCCTGTGGATCTCCCTCGTGGAAATCCTGGACAACGGCTCTTACCAGTGTGTGGTTCAGCGCAACTCCGTTGTTGTGTGTGACGAGTCTGTCATCCTCTTTGTGTCAGGTGGGTGGATTGCATCCTGACACCTGAGGTTCTCCAGTGCCAGCCTCTGGGGGTGAAGGATGCTCTTCCAAGCTTATCCATACTGCAGCAGGTGTGGAAGGTGTGTTATCTGCTTCCATTCCAGCAGCCTCCCTTCTTACCTTTCTAAAGCTACCCCAGGTACAGAAATTTTTTTGCCCACCACCAACCCAACCTCCTTCCCTTGATGCCTTCCTCTTGTGAAAGGATCCCTCCTGGGGCCCTCCCCAGACACCACTGGTGATGGGTGCCTGAGGCAGCCCCTGCTGTCTTTGGGGCAAAGCAAGACCAAGCCCTTAGTGCCTGGCAAGCATTCAAGCTGAAAGAGAAATAGGGTAGCCAGGGCAGCATCCCAGCCCTGCATCCAAACCCCTGTGGAACTGGGCACTGCAGCTCCACAGCCTAAAGCCGAATTCATCATAGAGCTTTGAGGCTTGTTACATTAAAGAAACTGAGTTCCTTTGTTCAAAATGAATCTGAATCTTTTCTTCGAGGCCACAAAAAGTTCCACTGACATTTTCCATTTCCACCAGTGTTTTTGTGGCAGTTGATTTCAACCAAGGATACTGGTGACATATATAAATATATACATGTATTTTAATACCTATAACAGCAGATAGTTACATGAATCTTCCAGACAAGTCAGTGAAGGAGCATGCCTCATCTGGAAGGAGATTGGGCAACAAAAAACAGACAAGCTCCTGAGGTCTGGCCATTTCCTGCTGGCCTGAGAGGGCATATGTGCAATGAGATAAATTCAGTGATCTTTCTGGGAATTGGTATGAAAAAAGGGAAGTGTACTGCCAGCATGCTTTTTTAACCATGAGGGTTGAGAAGTTAACTGCATAAAAAACATAAAACTATGGATCTCTTTTCCTGTCCGCAAATACTCCAGTTTCTTTCCAGCCAGAAATCCTCTTGCTGTCCTAACAGGCCAGCTGTAATAATTATGGCAGACTTCTGCTCCCTCTGGTGAAGTGGGATCAAGTTATTGTGGGGATCAGGAAAGGGAAATGCTGGAATCAGGCTGGGATGCCTGAAGGGATTTTCCAGGCTGGATGGCAGTGTCGTATTGCTCAACAGACAATGGGGCTGGAAGGAAAACTGTCTCTCCTTGCTTGCCACCGCTCAGCCACACAGTGCTGAGCAAGTTTCTTTCACTAGTGACTGCTTGCATGGTATCCTAGACCATGGGCAGAAAAAACTCCCATGGTGACTGCCCTGTGCGGGGTTGGGGGAGGGGGGTCCTTGCCTTGACTGTGGGTTTTGGGGGCTGCAGACCTCGCTGTGGCCTGACAGAATGGTAACCAAATCTCTCACTTCAGCTGACTTCAGCAAGCCCAACATAACAGCAGAAGTGTCCGCTGATTCTTGCGAGCTGACTGAGATGGTGATAACATGTTCTTCTCACGGAGGTTTCCCCAAGCCCAAAATCTCTGGAGCCCTCAACAACGTGTCCATGGAGTGGAATGCCAGCTGGGTGTCCGAGTCCAGCCTCAGCCCATACAATGTCACTGGAAAACTGCTGCTCAACGTGACCAAAGATGTCAACATCACTTGCTCCGTTGAATACAGTGGCTTTGCCAAGTCCACCAGTTTGCTTCTGAGTATGTTTTATTAATGTTTTTTGTAACAAAACCATTTTGTTGAATCTGCTGGGCTGCCTTTCTGAGAATGCAGTAGATTTTGTGCAAGTGTTCACGCAAAGATCACCCAATGATCCTGCCTGTGAACTACACACGGAAATATTTCAAAGGCTGCAAGATAGCTGGGGTGGGAAGGGAGAATTACAATGGTGACTGACAAGCAGAGGCAATTCTGTCTCCCTGCTGCTCTACTGCAGCTGGGCTGGGAGCTGAACTGGATCCTGTTGTGATCTGGTAATGTCACACCTGGTGGCTCCCACAGGCTAGGGCTGCCACCATCCTGTGTCCCTCTGTACCAGCACGGTCTTGCTGCCAGCTGTGTGACGCAGACCTGGTATTTGAACGGAGGGACCAGAGAAACATGCGTGCTTTAAAAGCCACAGGCTGCACTTTAAAATAATTTCCTCATTTAACAAGCTTGTTTGTCCCTGCTTCAGTGAAAGAAACTGTCAGCTGGGGTCTAGACAAAATTCTGTTTTCAAATGTAACATGGGGTTAACTCATACAAAAAGAATTCCATCACTGAGCATGGCTCAGAAGTGATGGCATAATAGATAAGTCTGTGCTTTGAAAAGCTTGAAGCACAAATGGAAACAGCATGAGGGAAAGCAGCATACTACATTCCAGATGTTTTGCAGTAGAAGGGGATTTGCAAGAAAATTCGTAAAACCAAAAGGATTTTTTTTTAATGTTGTTACCAAAAAAGTATTCTGAAATGTCTCTGGGTCTGATGTTTTTACTGTAGAGATAAGGGCACCTTCAAGGGAAGATAGAGAAGCAGTATGTTTCCTAGGGAATTATACCTTATTCATCAAGGTAGCTTATTCATCTATCTTACTAAAATCAAAGGGATTTGTGGGGAGAGGTGCCATTCAGCTTCAGAATAAATGCCAGGAACTAGTGCTTTATGAATACTGGCTATTGCTGGATGTAGAGCATAATGTCCCTAATGAAGGGAGAATAAGGTTATGAATAGCTCACTACATAGAAAAAGAAAGCAACAACAACAAAAGCAGTAATCAGAGGAGGGTGCAGCCAACAGTGACACAGCCACAGCAGTTACAAACCCCCCACTTTCTGACTTTTAGGATGTGGAACCACTCCCATTTTGGCATGGTGTAAATGATCCTCCAAAAAAACCTTTCATGAACACTGAATTACAGACAGAACAGAGCCTCTGGTAAATGTAGAAGGCAACCCCTACAGAGTGAGGGGAGGACTGAACAGCAGATCAGGCTAATTAATGGCTTAGGAGTGGAATGATGCTTACCTGTGCCAGATGCAGATGGTGGAAAACTGAAGGTTTGTGCACATAGGTCTGCAGACCTATGGACATGCAGCAAGTCCTGTCCTGTGCAAGAATGGCCCAGTATTTATCTGTCTATCTATCTATCTGTCTATCTATCTATCTATCTGTCTATCTATCTATCTATCTATCTATCTCTAGAATCCCAGTGGTAGAATGGGATTTTCCACCATCTCCAATGGTGAAAAGCCAAAGTCTCCAGACCCGCTAAAACTGAACTCTGCCACTGTTCCTGCCATGCAGAAAAAATTATATTCTAGACCGTTAAATGCATCATTCTCCTTCACCTGTAGATCCAAAGGGAAAAGAATTAGGCATAAATCTGATTAAAGCAGTAAGGAAAACTGCAGAGTACCTTTGAGAACAGAAATTTTCTAGCTGTGAATACAGACTTTCCCACCAAGCCTAGCTCATTTCCCTGAAACAGCTTCTGTGTTTTAAAATATTTGCTGTCTCAGTCCTGTTCTGGACAAAGACCCAGCTTTTTTAATTCTGTGGATATGTTAAAAATTTCAGCCCATAGCAAATGTGGGTGAATGGAAGAAATTTAGGTGCCAGCTTTGTTTGCTTGTTTATTAAGTCCATTTTCAGGCTGGATAGCTGAGTTAGAATTTGGCCAGAACCCCTGAAATTCACATACCTGCTCTCACATGAAAATGCCAATATCATGTTGGGCCCTTTTTTAATGTTTTATTTCTCCTGCCTCAGAAAAAACAAACGACTGTGTTGTTCCTCCTGCGCCTCCACCTTATAATGTCATTACTGCTTCAATTATCATCGTTATCACCTTCCTCCTGGCTATCACCCTGGCAGCAAGATACCTCCCAAGGCATGGTAAGTGCACTTCCTTTTTCAAGAAGGTGTCTCGGTGCTGATGGAGTTTCTATGTAGGATACACATTTATAGAAACTTTACTGTCACACTAGGTATTTCTGTACCTTCTTATTTTTCTCATTTCCTTTTTTTTTTTTTTTCCCTTTTTCCTCTTCAGCATCCACTGTCACAAAATCTAAGTCTAGCTCATGATTTTTCTACATTTTGTGTGCAGGCAACACTTGAGTTCAGGTTTGAGGGTGCAGAGGTGACAGGGAGTTTTGACAGCAGATCAAAATATTTCCAAAATCAGGTATAATGAAGAGGTTCACAAGGGCTCATTTTTATGTATTAAGATGCTTTAAGATGCTTTAAAATGCCAAGAATGTTGGTGATCATGATAGATACAGCTGAGCACTGAGAGTTTCAAAATAGGATCTCTCTCCACACCCTACTTAATCTCTCAGAAAGTCACTGAGCCAGAGTAACAAAAATACCTAGTGTTAGGGCCACAGGAAAGCATAGCAATGTCCTACTTTTATGAGAACACCAACCAGGAGAGTTAGATTTATATTCTTTGTACAGCCAAAAATGGCACAGGTAAAGTGTCTGGTCCCATCTTATGAAGTCTTCAGTAACTCCAGACAAGTCTCCAAGACTTTTTCAATGGCAAAGGGGGCCTTAAATATCTCAGGGTTAGTGGACAGCTGAGTAATTTACTTTTTTCTCTTGAAAAAAATCCCATCTGTTAGCTGTTGCTCCTAATCATGTCTAAACTGACCTTGCCAGAAAGTCCCTGAAGATGTGGGCAGGCATTTAATAGATTTATAAAGGCAGGTAAGATTGAAAGTCAGCAGGAGCAGCAGGTGCCTTATCCATACCCTATGAGCAGCTTTGCAGAGCAGTCCTGGAGAATGACAGCAGGCCTTGCAACACATGAGGATAAATAACACCCAGATGAGTTCTGTCAGGTCACTGGGGAAGCCACATCTGGGGACAGGAATCCCACACTGAGGGCTCTATGCTCAGGCCACTTACACCATCTGGCCATGGTATTCCCTGTTGGAAAAGGTCATTTTCTGAGCAGCAAGGACTCAGTCCACTTACAGATACCTGCAAGTTTGCCATGCTTGTGTCTTGTGATACCTCTACTTCAACTTCAGACAAGTTCACTCCCAAGTCAGATGTGTGGAGGTCTCATTATTATTTTTCTTTTCCCCTCTTCATCAACCACATCCCTTCAAAAACCAACGTGACCATTGAGTCAAGCTGGGCTAATTTCCTTTCAGTGTTTTATCACAAAGAAAGGAAGCTTCTGGAAGGCAGTGACTCTGGGTCACACCTGTGCACCTCCTCATTTTCCACCCCTGTGCCTTTATGACACCAGTACCTGTTCTTCTCCTCTGCTGTTCCCTAGGGCTGTGTCAACAGGAAACCAACAAGCAGGCTGAAACCAAGAAAATCACAGTTGATCACAGCCTGTGCTGTTAGCTGCATGTATAATGAACTTCTAATTATAGGAGAAAATGAACTGGAATCGGAAGATTTGGCTCTCAACAAATATAGGCTGGAAATTAAAAGATTCCTTACCATTAAATTAGCAAGATCCTGGAGCACTCTGAGATAGCCTTTTATATAAGAATGGAATTGCTTTTAAAGCAGATGTAAAAAGCAGACCCATGTGGTAGAATGCAATCACCTACAAACAGCATGGCACATGGCTGCATTAACTGGAATTTCCCTTTTAGTCACACTTCCATAATATGCACAGGGAATAGATTTGCTGAGTCAGGTGGTGCTATTTGGTTCAGCCATTTTCCAGGCCAGGCATGGAAGAAACTGTAAAAGAAACTGTAAGAAGTATAAGAAACTAAAGCCAGAGTTTCCATCCAGCTTTCCAGTTAGTGTAGCTGTCCCATTTCAGTGCTGCTGTGCATGGCCACCTGTCTGGGAAGAGAAACCTCTGCCCTAAGGGTGCTTCCTATGGGTGCTGCTGCAGGTCACCTTTCAAGAGCTCTGGTGGGAGTGCAGAATAGGTCTGAGAGCACCTCTGTTGTTCTGGGCCGTGGAAAGCTGAGTCAGGAGTTGCTAAGAGTGCTTTCTGCGCTCAAAAAGCCATGCTTCAAAGAGCTGAAGTGTGGGAGGGAAGAATAGAAAAGCAGAGCAAAAACGGAAGTAAGAGTTTTCAGATGCGTGATTGTTGTGGTGGCCAAAACAATCAGGTGCTTTGTTGAGGTTCACAACCACCTACTCTGAGGAGCTCGAAGCCTGTCTTGCAGTAATTTAAGAATGAAAACACAAAGCACCAAGATTAGAGGTCACCTAAACAATAGTTTAGGATTCACGTTGCATAAGTTATGCGAGCACAGTTGCACAAGATTCAACTTGAACTACTAAAATTCAGTCATAGATGGTGAGATATTAAGGGAATCTGCTTAATCTGAGTAGATGGTGAGATATTAAGGGGATCTGCTTAATCTGAGATCCTCTTAAAGCACTTGAAAGAGTTTGTTGGTTTTAACACCAGCATTCTTTCACTCGATAGGTAAACTGCAATTAGTGACATATAACCATCATTATTTCCCTTCTGACCTTATCTCAGCATGTAGCAACCTGTTTTTGTGCCAAGCTGAGGTTCTAGCCCTGTGCTAACAAGAGCAGTTTTATCCAATATGACACTATATAGATAATATTTATTTGTAACAGAGCTTTCTATCAGATCAGACTATGACCATATTCATACAATAACAAGGGATCTTCTTTTTCAGTTTGTTCTCACTGTTGTAAGCACCAGGATTCAGTGGATGAGGGCGTGAAAGAATATACAAAGGCACCCACGAGCTCTAAAGGGACAGCTGAAACATCATCTGTATGACCAGATCACATTTGCAGGTAGTTTTTTTAACTATTCTCTTAGCAAAACTGTTTCTCAAATAGTACTAAATGCTTGTGCAATGTTAGCTCAAAACACCCCGTGTCATCCAGCTGTCAGGATCTGTAGTGACATCCCCTGCCATTGCCCCTGTACTCATTTTATGGGCTTCCCAAATAAACACTGGGCAGTCTTTTAGTGCCTGTCCTGTTGGGCTCATTTGTGAGTTACTCATCCCTACCTCAGGTACCACATATGGCTTCACCCCGCAGAGGTTCTGGCTGATTCCCTGTGAGCCATGTGCCTGATTTGATGCCTTAACATCACTGATGATAGAAATCGAGGATTGAGCAAATGGTGGTAAGGGAGGGAGGAAGAAAAGAACAACTCCAGCTTTCCCAGTATGATCAGACACGCCACTCCAATTCTGAGATGTGTCCATTCCCTTCAGCAGCTGGAGAAGGAAAAGTTTCCTCCCTCAAACTTGCCCAGAAAACATTCATATTTTAAAAGGAGTTACTTTCGATAATGGGATGTTACAAAAGATGGGCTGGGGAAATCTGGTTTGCCAAGGTTTTATGATTACAAAGGATTATATTTGCTTTGGCTTGAAAGCTCAGCAGTTTTCAGGGCTGTGTCCTCCAAAAAGACACTTAAGTGAAGAGACTTAAGGGAAGATTAGCAGCTAACTGTTTTTATTCACATCATTATCCAGGTGACTGCATCTCCTGCTCTCACCGAAGCATGTGGAATTGCCAGGGTAATGCCTGAGGAATTGCCAGGGTAATGCCCTAGAGCAACTGCTGTGGGGTCCTGGAAGTCACGACTTTGTCAAACTGTGCACTGCAGAATCTAAAAGTTTAATAGTTTTGAGATGGAAAGGAGGGGAAACTCTCATTTGGGCCACTTGTCTCATTTCCAAACCTGACCACCCACTGATGTTTTCCTCCGGGGAAGGCCCTGTCTGGAACAGATACTAGAGCCTTGGTTAGCAAGAATTTTGGGGAGTTTTGTGATGGGAGTGGCAGGAGTTCACCTACAGAATAAACCCAATTTTTTTTAATTATAAAAGTTTGCCAAGGTTTTCCTGTAGCTGGTGTAGCTGGAAGCTGGTGCTTCCCGACTCCATTGCCTAGGACAGCTGCTCTCTGTGGACTGGGATGGAAGCTGTGCTTCCTTAGTGCCTGACTGCCATCTCGTGATGCACCGAGCCATGTCCTACTGCTGCTTAAACAGGGAATCATGTTCATTAAGTCATCCTCACTCCGTTCCCAAGGGTTTTGCAGGAAGCGCTGGGCCAGGCTGCAGCGGGCTGCACTGCCCGCTCCGAACAGCTCCGAATTTAGGGACCAGGAGCCCTCTTGTGGAGGGCTCCCGCAGCTGATACCTGTTCGTCGGCTCTGCAGCGTTACTGGGGAACATTTAAGGTGTGAAAAACAAAAAACAAACTCCAGTGAAATTTTTTCCTCAGGTTCTTCACGCTGTGCATCCCGCACTGCAGACTCCACACTGTACAGCGATGCTTGCTGCATGGACCCTTTGGCTCTCTGCAAGGGGGTGGCAGCAGCAGCAAACTGCTCACCACGGCTGACAGCACAACCTCCTGCGAAGGGAATGCAAACCCTGACTGTGCCGTGCCTTCCTTACATCCAGGTCGCTGGGATTCCAACTGAGAGGACCCTCCGTGTTCCTGCAGCGGGGCAGAAGGATGTCATCGGTAGCACACAAGGTCAAGACTTCAGGAACCTCTGGCTTGATGCTGTCTCTGTGAGAATGAGGGGCCTGCAGAGCCCAGCAGGGAGCCCATGCCCACCTACCCCTTCAGTAACACAGAGCTGCCCTTTGGGAGACCCCAGATCCTGACCTGCAATCTCTTCTGTTTGTGCCTCCATGTTGCAAGTGGGAGAAACTAAAACTTCTTTTATATTCAGCCTCATACAGGTATCTGTTCTCCCTGCTGGAAGATTTTGGATTTGGACTCGACCATTACAGATACACACCCCTTATCCCCTAAAGAGGCAATAGTGGACATATTTTTTCATGAGAAAAAGACACTTTGGAAGTGAGTCTATGTGCCTCAAGCTTCTTTGCAGTGCTACAAGACTTTCTAGGGAATGTTACACATGCTGACAGCACTCCTAAGAGCTCATTAATATTGCTTATCCACTGCAGTGGCAAAAGTTCTCATAACCTTTCTCTCCTGAAAGGACAGCCTTGCCAACCCAAGCACTGAGGCACAGCTCCTCCATTCAGTTGCTGTGTGAGGGCACACAACCTGTGCACACACATGGCCAAGTTTTCACGTGCATTCCTTCCCACCCACACCTGTGTGGCAGCCAGTGGTGATCTCATGTGCAGCTACTGTGATCAAATGTAACTCGGGGCCTTGCTTTATAAACATGGGTCTGCTTCTGTGTGTACATCTGCCATGGGATACTTGATAGGGAAAGCTCTGCAGATTTTTGGGTGTTTCTCACAGCAACGTAAGGATATTTACTTTGCACTGAACGTTGCTGTTTTCTGCTGGTGTTCTCTCTACCCAGCCAGGACTAGAAGGAATTTCCCTACAGGATGCTAGCATTGGACAGGACTCATCGGATCCGGGTGACATTCTTGCCTACTGTGTAGGAAAAAATGGTTTCTCATTTTGAGGGGAAAGGAGGAAAATGCCCCAACCCCCAATAAGCTTCCTAAGCAACTCTGCCTACTAACCTAACTCTGACCTGAGTTTGACTGGAATGTTTTTCTCTTTTGCTCTGCAAGCTGTACCCATTTCCTCACTGTTCCATCCACATTATCAGGGCAAACCAAAGTCTGAAGGCACAATGCCATCCTCTTTGTGGGATGTGTTGTCACTTGAGCTGCTTATCTTCCTAGAACACAGCAAAGACATAGTCCATCCATTTCACTTTTTTTCTACTTGGTACATATTGAGAAACTGCTGGAAAAAAATAGAATTAAAAGTGGTTTAGAGGATACTGAGCTCTGAGATTAAGTAAAAAATAGACAATGCTCCCTTTCTACTCCTGCAGAGTCATGCTGTGCCATCACCTTTTTACTGCTTTCCCACTGTACCAAGTGTAATGGGAACTTCAGAACATTCTTACAGAGGAGTTTTTGACAGAGGAAATGAGGTAAACTGGGGGATAAGAAAACAATTGCACTTGTGTGTTCTGGTTGCAAACAGAACACAAGTGACAGAAATCAGGCTGTCTCCAAAAGGCAGGACTTGGTGCGTGAGTGATGGTTGCCTGTTCTTTCAGCCTATGCTTGTTCCAGCACAAACTACCAGCTCCTTGCAGACTGACCACTGTCTCTTGGCATTCACTTCCAGTTTTGCTGATTTCCAACACTTCTTCCCCACAGCCACACTGCAATTGCACCTTGCCAGCCACACCACAGCTCTGCCAGTTGTACCAGCATGTTTTCCCTCTCACTATCCCATGCTCTACTTCTGCTCCTGGCTGGTGACTGTGCAGCCTCCCAGAGAAGGGCTTGTCTTTTGCAGTGTGCCAAACCTTTCTACATCACCACAGATTCCAGTAACGCTTTCAGTAACTCCTTCTAAAAGAACAAAAAAATTCCCTGACAAATATGGCCAGCAGCAGGTTATTTTTATATGCTTGATGGGCAGGTTATTTGGTTCATTTTTCATTAAGCAATAATATTCTGGATCATATTTTCTATTGCCTTATGCTGTATTCAGTGAATTGCATACAAATGGTTTCTGTGAGACCTTCTCAGCTTCGTATCTGCGTCATTGTAGCAAGTGAGCTGCTGTTTACCATGGGTGTTTTGTATATAATGTTGTTTCCTGGGGTTCCTCCTTTCATTGTATTAAAAAATAAATGGTAAACTCAGTTTCCTTTCCTCAGTAATAAAAGATGTCTGTCTATGCACTGAGTAGAACCTCTGTTACTCCTGTTATCCACCATTTCACAGCATCCAGGTAGGTGATGCAGCTGTTGACAAAGCTGTACCAGGTACAGCTGGCATCAAGCCACAGCTCTGTGTGCCAACAGCAGTGACAAAATGATACTCAGGTAACCCAACTTGTGACTTCCACACCCCTCACATCTGTCACTTTGCCAGGGGTTACCTGAACCATTTAGCTACAGATCATCCTTCTCCCTCCAAACAGGAGGTTCTCTGCAAAAGCAAAATGCAGTATAAGGTCTTCTCGCTGCACCCTTACTACTTGGGTTACCTACTCTGAAAGTGGAGGGTCAGTAATTTCAATGCTGTGCTTTTGCTGGGGATGGAGGGAGTGGGAATGTGAAGAATTCCTTACAGGTGTATGTAAAAAACAAGCTCTGAACCATTTGGGAGTCTAAGAAGTAAGGAAGTGCAGGGAACTAAATTCAGAAGAAAACTGAGAAACAAATGCCTGCTAATCTTGAGTGAGCTGAAGTCTCTGCTTCCCCTGGCTAATAGGCAGCGTAAGAACATGTAGCAGCCCTCCCTTGCACAGACAGAAAATCCACACAACTGCTACACCTTGGCTCTGCTTTCCCTCCCATCCCTGCATCAATGGTCAGGCACAGGAAAATTAGTATTCTTTAGGCATCACATCAAATACCACCAAACAGGAATAGAGACAGAGCAATGGCACAGCTAAATGTCATCAGAGCTGCTGTACAGATAAGAGTGTGGGATATTGGGTGGGGATGTAATAGCAAGAAGATAAAAATGAAGATAAAAAAGAAGATAAGACATCGCTGTGTAAGCACAATGGCAAAAATGTGACTTAGAAAGGCCCATTTCCTTTTTTTGGGGGGTGCCAATAACAACACCATTACTATCACCAACACATGCAGAGCTTAGAACTCTGAGGAAAGATGGAAAGATATATCCATACCTCTGCTTATGCAGATCCTTCACTTACACACAGAAAGGGAAAATCAGAGCTGGTTGATGACAACTCTGAAATACACATTTCTTCAATGGAAAAATGAGCTACACTGGGGTGTTTAAAAAAATTAAATGCTCACTTCAGGAGTCAGAAAACACAACACCTTCTTGAAAGCAAACTGTGCCAAAAATCTGCTTTGGGTGGGTGGAATACACTCTGTGGGATCGACTGTTCGTATTTCAATCAAGAGTAATTATATGGAGAAGCATTCAACCAGAATACATTCTTTTCTTATGAGAAGAACACCCGAAAATCCTGTAATTCCTTTCAGTAGGAGAAAAAATTCCAACAAAGAAAAGGAACAAGAATTCTGATCTCCTGCTTTGTGGAAACAGTGATGGGCCACCTCACCCTTCTGAGTACAGACCATTTTAGAGTAACTCCAGCACCACCCACAGGTAACAGCTCTGACTTAACAGTTTATCTGCAACAAAATAATAAAGCTGACACTCTCGTGGCTCTTTCCTTTGTTACTGCCTGGGTAGAGGAATGTCTGGTGGGATCTCAGAGCTCTTCTCAAGGAATGTCACTCAAGGATGCTCCTCTAGTACCAACACTACTAGCATAAAGTACCTGCTGTACTGATATAAAGAGCTTATGGACACAGTCACCACTGCTGGATGGCTTTATTAAGTGTCTTAAACCACATTTTCCCCAAAGGAAATCCCCTGATTTCCAACTTTCAAATGAAATTAGAGGCCTTTTTATTGTTAAAACTGTCCACAGTGCCAAGTCTTCCACCACCACCAGAAATAAGACATGTTTTCTGTGGCTCCCTCAGGCTTCTGTTGAGGAATCCAAAACATGCCTTTTTCAGGGTATTTCCATATAATTCCCAGCTCCTCCACCTTTCCTCCACACTGACTGCAAAATACCCCAAATACTGTAGCAGCCAAGTAAGAAACTACCATCAGCAAGTTCTTTAAGCACTGTCTGAAGAACAGCTTTCACCAGGGCATAGTTAACTTTTGGAATCAGGGGACTTTTAGCACACAAACCATTTATAGGCGCCTTTATCTTGAATATTTCTACATCACTAGTGGTTTGGACATTTCCAGCAGTGAAATGGGTCCTAGATGAGGCTCTGGAGCCTCCACTTCCTGCCAAAGCTAGGTGACATTTTCTGGTCTGTAAAGTCTGTATTTCCACCTTCTCAGGTGGAACAGGTTTGGCGCTGCCAAGCTCTTTGTGCAGTGATATCCATCCCTGTACAATGTTTTCAGCAAAACACTTTTTCACAGGATACAACTGCATTCACAACTCCCATGATCCTTTGACTGAAGGCTTTCACAAGCAGGATCTAAATGCTGTGTAGCTTCTTACAACAGAGATCTGGGAAAGACTCAGTAACTCTTCAATTCTCTTGCTCTCTCCGTCTCTGGTCTTCCCTGGGCATTGTTTTCTGTTTGACCTAAGATTTCAGTCATACTGAGCCTGGATTCCCTAAAGGAGAGAAGAGAGAGTGCAAACCAATTTTATGCCTGTATCCTCCAGACAGAGACATCACTGCAGAATCCAAGCTCTTGAAAATTTCTCCTAGAATTAGTGAGTAAGTTTCAGTAATTCACATGACCAGTGTCATGGCCTTTCTTCCCCCAAGCCTTCAGCTATCCTCCTTTTCCTCTCTTTAATAGGGATAGAAAGAAGGCAGCAAGGAAGGAAAGACTGGGAAGACTAAATCAGCATTTCTAAGACTGGTATGTGAACACCACCAACAACCAAGAGAAGAACTGAGGTTTAGAAAGCCTAGTGTGTCGTGGTTTCTCTAAATGTATGAACACACAGCCCCAGACACCCTCCTCCAGTCCATGACTGGAAGGGGCAGAGCTGTTCCTCACCACTCTGCCAGCTTCTGTTCGTACAGCTCCCTGCGCTCACGATTCCTCTTCTCCTGCAGGGTCTCACCAGCCAAGCCATACATTGCTATTAGGAGGCCTCCTGCAGGAACCCTGAAGGAGGAAGCAGAGAAGTCAGCAGTCATCCAGGGGACACACAACAGCAATAACTCTCCGGCATCAGCAAAAGGAGCATGCAGGGGCCACATGCCGCATGAGGGGAGCATCACATTCCCCAGAAATCACATCACACCACAGACTAAGGTACTTCTGTTCTACTGTCACCCACCAACCACAGCCTCTCTTCAGCTGTGACTCACTGGAGCCCCTGTGATAACATATTTTGAATTTACTCATTGACAGGAACATATAGGACAAAGGGGTGGAAGCATTTGTGGTGCTCTATGAAGAACCCATAGGACACCTAAACCATATTTCAGACAGGGACACTCCTGCTCAGCTTCTATCCAGCTCTGGAAGTACTTGTGTTTTCACAGGTAAAGCTCCCTAGGCTGCTTCCAGGCATGCCCACAGCTCACACCATCCTGATGGTGCCAAGCAGCACAAATAAAGCTCATTCTTCTTCAGGTAGGATCCCCAGATTCACTTATGGGGCTATTTACAGGTCAGCACTTTGAGAAGAAATCCCAGTCCTGCTTGAAAAGTTGGATTTCTCCTGAGTTAGAGGTGATTGTCCAGAAGCACAGAGCCTCTGAGAGAGAACCATGGGTTCCTCCATGCCCCAGGGAACTTTAGGAGATTCATGGCTGCAAAACACACATGAAGACATGTGTCACCTTACAGCCCAGCCATGCAGCTACTCCCTCAGCGTTTCCTAATGGCTGCTGCTTCACATTTTAGCATTGGTGGAGCCTATGTTGTTCCCTCTAATAAGTAAACAACAGCAAATAAGATGCTCTACTGAGAGCACTGAGCTCTCACTACTGGGACCAGCAAAACACAAAACAAGAAACAAAGAAGAAAAGAAAAACTGTTTAAAGGTTGGAAGAAAAGTGATCATCATGAGGTCCCAAGAGAGATACAGAAAATCCCTCCAGGCAGGAGAGGAAGGGAAGCTCTTGTAGCCCCATCCATGATCCCAGGCTCGGTGTGTGCAGCAGTCACAACTCACCCAAATGCCGTTCCAAACATGATGCCGCCCGCCAGGCCCTGCAGGCCCAAGTGCATTCTGAACAGGGCTCCTGTGAAGGCTAAAAAAAGAACAAACCCACTGAAACTAGAAATAGCCCCACCACAGACATATCAACATAGGGAGCTGCTTTGCTGCATTTCTCTTCTCCATGAGCTGACATCTGCTTTTAACAGAGCAGAAACCAAGTGCCATGGCCAGCGGGACAGACCCTCACCAGACAGTCACCATGGCCTCTGCACTGAAACATTGCACAAAATTCCTTCTGCTTCAGAAAAACTGCCAAAGTTTTTCCTGTACCACAGAAATATCTATAAAAGTAAAACCAAGCTCTCTCTAGGCTGGGGCATGAGATCCTCACCCTTTTTTCTGTTTGACAACAGCTAATAATAGTAGCTGCCATGTAAGGCAGAAAGATCAGTAAAAAGTGTATCCAACTGTAAGGGCAATAAAGCCTGTAAAACTGAACAAGCAGATCACTTACCCAGAGCCCTGTTGCCAAAAGTGGACATGCACAATTTAGCATGAAAAGGACAGCCTATAAACAGTGTGCTGAATTGTTACCAAGAGTGGAAATAAAAGATGCTTTCCCTGTTAAATAAATGCTTATGAGAACAGGTTATGCACCAAGTGTTGCCTTAACCCCACACAAGCATTTTTCACTTTTTTCAAAATACTCCAGCAAGTAACTTGAAGATGAACTGATAACCACAAATCTCCCAATGGTTTCAGCAGTGCATCAGTATCTCTTACAAATAAAGGCACGCAGCAGGCAAACAACAGAGCAAAGTCAGTGGAACAAGAAGCAAAACCCAAGAGCACAGAAGCTGCTCAAGCCCAAGGGATGTGGATACTTGCTTATGCTTTTCTGCTACGACCCTTGCTTCCAACCAGAAGCACACAAGGTAACAGCA